GTGGTTGTGGTGGTGTTGGGACCAAGTGGCTTCTGTGTACCAATCACTGTGAGCATGGCAGCCTCCAAGCTGCTTCTGAGGATGCCGGGATAAAACACCACAACTTCCCATGGGGACATCATGGGAGCGGGTGAGTCAAGGAGGGGCCTAGGCCCTGCCAGGAGAGGGCATGGGGGAAGCAAGCAGGCCAGCAGCCCAATCTGCAGTCCTGAGCCGGGTCCTGCCTCAGAAGGGTGACAGCAACAAGGCCCAGAAGGCCCCAGGGCCCAGGGAGCAGGCCTTCCAGATGAATAGCACCCATAGGAACAGAAAACAAGACACGATTTAAGGCATTGTTTGTTTACAGTAAAAGAACACAAGGGACCCTTAACACGGGGGTTCCCGGACTCCTCCTCTGACCTTTCTTGATGGACAAGGCTGGAACTAAAGGTTAAAGCAGGGCCTCTGAGCAAATGAAGGGTGTGATGTCACAAGTCTAGTGCCAAAATGCATGTTTCTCAAAGAGGTCACACTCGATCGCACACACACTTGTACAGCACACATACGTAGAGGATGCTCCAGGGTTGTACAAAATCTGAGGCAGCCATGTGGGTGGGAAGCCCCATGCACTTGGGGTGTAACAAGCCTTCCCACAGCCTGCCCCTGCTCTCTGGCCCCTCTCACAGTTAATGCTGTCCACTCCATGTGCAGCAGGAAGCACAGAGAACCCAACGTGGGCTGAATGCTCTCTGGTTGCAGAAGCAGCAGCTGGTGGATGGACGAGGGCCCGAAGATGGGGCGCAGAGTGTGCAGTGTGGGTCTGAACACCACCCTGTGCGGTGGTGCTATGGATGACAGTCATGACAGTCACTGGGGTTGATAGGTGGATCCTGCACTGGGGAGCCCTCTGGGACTGTGAGGCCGCAGGCTATGTCCCCTGAGTCCAGCTGTGAGGCTCCCAGCACCCTGGCCTACAGTATGTGACCAGAGCTGCTCTTCTCCAGCAGACCCAATCCAGGCTTCCAGAGGCCTTTGCAGTCGTACCAAGTCCTGCAGGGACTTACTCAAATGACATAAGGTTTGTAGGTACCTAGAAGAGAAAGCTCAGTCTCTTGTCAATGTTCCAACCCTCAGAAGAAGAGGGGTTGTTCCCCAGGGAAAGAGACCATGCCTTTCCCAGCCATCGCAAAAATCATAGCTGTCATTTGTTAAGTGACCTTCTGTGTGCTGGGCACTGCTCTGAGTACTTCAGATGCATTGTGTCCTTGAATCCTCACATTGACCCTATTAAGCAGGTCCTGGAAGATTCCTCACCATGAAGATGAGCAAACTGAGGCTTAGAGAGGTGAAGTGCACAGTGATTGAGAAGTGGGGCTGGGACCCAAGCCAAGGCCATGCTCCCAACCACTGTCCTCAGAACAAAAGTAAACTGTGCTAAGGGTGAGGAGGACAATCCCGCAGGAATGGGGCATATGCCTCTGAAGGCAAAACCAGCGGGAAGGAAGTGTCATTGAGGATGGCAGGGAATGGCAAGTGGAAGCACACACGGGAGGAAGGGGAATACTGACAACACCAAAGACCTTCCTATAGCTGGGGCCCAGGGCAAGATCCTGGCCCCCTTTTCTGGGGGGACCACCAGCTCCAAGGACAGAGTATTTTCCTCAGTCCCAGATCTCCCTGGCACTGCTGTGGGGTTCTAGGAGACTTGATTAGAAGTGACTTCATCAAAAATAAACCCATCTTGGTGTTGATTTGATCAGAAAAACAAATCAGAAAAAAAATGCACCTCTGTGCCAGAAGGCAGTTTCAAGAATGTTCTCAGCAGCATTCTCATGCTAGCAAAAAGCAGGAAATCATTCCTGGATGACCAGAAGAAGAACTGGTAGAAAAGATCAGCAGAAATGGATGAATGACGGCTACGCATGCCAACACTGGTGAATCTTAGGAACACGTTGTAGAAGAGCAAGTCATAGAAGAAAATATATGGGCATGGTTCTGCTTGTAAGAGAAAATGCATGCCAGACAATACGTGAAGGAATCAAATATGTTTTCTATAATTATAAAGGAGGGTGGGGGCAGAGGCTCAAGCCTGTAATCCTAGCTATTTGAGAGGTAGGGATCATGGTTGGAGGCTAGCTTTGGCAAAAAGTTAATGATTCTCCATCTCAACCAATGGCTGTGCATGGTGGGGAGCATGTGTCATCCCAGCTACATGGGAAAGCACTAATGAGTGATTGCAGTCCAGGCCAGCCTGAGCACAAAACAATTCCCTATCTCAAAAATAACCCATGCAAAAAGGGCTGGCAGAGTGGCTCAAGTGGTAGAATGCTTGCCTAGCAAGTGAGAGGCCCTGAGTGCAGTCCCCAGTACTACCAAATAAATTAAATTAAATTGAGTTATAAAAGAGGGCTGGGGGTATAACCCAGTGGCATAGTATTTTCCTAGCATGTGTGCTCTGGGTTTACTCTCCAGCACTGCAATAAAACAAAACAAAACAAAATAAAAGGAATGTAACAGACACGCCAGTAGAGTGGGTACAGGGCAAGGTGGGCGGGAGAGAGAATTAGGAAGAGGTGCATGGAGAAGGGAAAGATTCCAAGGCCTGGGGGTTCTATGCTTTGGTTGAGGGTGGGTATATGGGTGTTGGTTCTGCTGGTGCTGTTTGTATCTCACACATATGTTATAAATAAAGTTTAAGTGGATTCAGTGTCAGAAATGCAAACTAGACATGGAGTCTCAGTCACTGAGATTCATGTGGGCAGCCACATCTCTGGTGCCCTTTCTCACCCACTCCTTGCGTTCCGCTCCCTCACAGGAATGCACTGTGCCTACTGTTGGTAATCCTCTGCTGTGGAGAATTTTGGTTGTTGCCCACCTTTTATAATTACAAACAGCACTATTTGGTGGAAAGTCAATTAGAAATAAAAAGGAAACAAGAAAAAAGGGAAATATGCCTTCCTCTAAATCTGAAAATTGGACAAAAGTACTTTAAAGTGGCAGAACATTATCCTGGCACACTATGTTTGTTAGAGGGTGAAATCACATCCAGGAGTGCTTTGGACCAAATGCCAGTTCTGCCACATGGGTTTGACCCAGTCCTCCGTGCAACTGCTGCCACCCTCTGACTGCTCCCCTACAGAGGGATACCAGTCCTTGCTCAAGGCTCCCCTTACTGTTCCTGGCTGAGACCAAGGATCTGCCTCTTTCCCCAGCCAAATGGGCCACCTCAGAGCTGTCCGTTAGACCAGGAGCCATGTGACCTTCTGTGCAATGGATCAGGGCCATTTGTGTGTGGCAGGTGAGCTTCAGCGTGCTGTGCTCTTAGACAGTGCTACTCAGAACTAACAAGGGAGCCCAGACACATTGGGGTGACAGTACTGAGGAGGTCCGGGGCCTCAGGTCCAGTTCTTCCTCTCTTAGTGCCACTGGACTTGGTAGCAGCCTTTTCCAAGCCTCCATCCCTTGTTCTCTTTTGATTGCCTTGAGAAGACAGTAGACCAACACCGCTGGGCTTTTGTTATGTTGATAGGCAATAATGTTAGTTTAATGTACAGAATGCTTGTAAGCCAGGAAGGGTGTGTAACCCAGTGGTTACAGTGATTGCCTAGCATGCCTGAGGTCCAAGGTTTGATTCCCAGCAAAGTGTCTGTGTGTGTGTGTGTGTGTGTGTGTGTGTGTGTGTGTGTGTAGACAAATGTGTATGTAAGTACTCTGGAAACTACAGAATTCTAGTTTCTTGTACGCCATTGTAGAAATTTTACATGCATATCCTAACATACATGTAGTAAGCATGCACATGTGTTTTAATATAGTTGAGCTCATGCTTTCCAATGTCAGTGCCTTTCTTTCTTACTGCTACCCTGGAGCACCTTGCAGGGGTCCCACAGACCTGTCTTGTCTTTCTCATGGCTACCAAGTGTTGCACTACAGGGCTCCGCTACGGGCCATGGAGATTTTTCTATCAAGAATGATGCTGCAGTGAACACTCTTAAAAATATGTCTTTAGGATGTGGGTGAGCACATCCCTAGCAGTCTCGCAGGAGAGACAAGGAACTTAAATGTAGTTTATTTGGAGGGACAGAAGTACCAATGCTGCCCACCTGGCCCACAGGGGACAGAAAGCTCTAGCCTGCTTCCACCTGGTGCTGAGGGTGGAGGCAACCATTTCTGTCACAGGCCTGGCCAGCTAGGGCTGTGCTTCCAGGCCCCTGGCCCAGCTGCAGGGGTCCCAAGGAAATGGAGGCAGGAAAGTTCACTGGCAGCAAGGTCAGAATGGGGAATCAGGTGGCTCTGAGTTAGATCCCAGCTCTGCCACTCACTAACTATGGACCTTGACCAAGTGTCTACCACTTTCTGAGCCTCAGAATCCTCAATGTAAATCAGAGACACTAAGAGAATCTATCTCACATCCCACATCCCTGACTCTGGGAGGACTCTGTCAATTGCTACGTAGGAAGTATTTTAATAAAGGCTGGTGAGGAGAGGGGCGGGAGTGGTGGGAGAGGGAGCCAGACCATGGACCAGGTCCAGAGTCCACATCAGTACAAGCCCCCCTAGACAGCAGAGTTCCCCTACACATCAGCAGCCTTGCCTGGGATGTGCTTGGTCTTTAGTACACTAGCTGTTACTGTTATTCCCCTGGGTTGTGGGGCAGGGAGGCCCATTAGTCAGTTTGGGGTATTCCCATGAAATAGCCTTGGAGGATAACCTAAATAGATGCTGGGGCCTGATCCTTGGGTGACATCACACCTGCCACCTCACGATCCCCCAGTGGGTGTTTCTGTGGCATTCCCCTTAGTGGGAAAGATGAGAAACCAGGCTCAAAATTCCAGTAACAGCCAGGTTTCATCCTAAGCTGAGCAAGGGATGCCTGTCTCAAGGGAAAATGCAGACCCAGAGAGGGTGCCTGGAAGCAGAGCCAATAGCTCTGAAGGGAGAAGGGGGCCCTGTTTCTAAGAAGCCTGAGTTCCAGGGCTGGTGGAGGGTATCTCACATGACAAGCAGGATTCTGGTGACCTTACCTGGGGCCTGTTGCTCTTACATGCATCATCCAAATGTTTGTGCCACAGGATTGCATGGAATCGGGAGCCAGTCTGAAACTTGTAAACATTGCCTGACGGAGAGAAAACACTGGTTAAGAAGACAAGCACACAGGAGAGTCAGCTTGTGATTGTGTGAAGGAAAACATGAACCAGAGCGACTGAGGAAGGTCAAGAGCAGCTCAAGGTGAGCTGAAGTTGGCAGGGGAGGCAGGTGCCTATGCTCTTTTGGGCTGTCTTTGTACTGACTCTTATCCATGTTTTGGGCAGTAGTGCCTTTGGCTGTCTGGTGAAGTCTATGAACCCCTTCTCAGAACAGTATTTTAAAATGTATAAAATAAAATACAAATCAATGCTATTGAGACCCAGTTATCAAACTCCCTAAAAATAAACTGAGTGGTAAATGTCATGTGTGCTCATGCACTCATACACCATTGGTATGAGCTCTAGTGGCAGGTCTAGTACTAGTGGCAGGTCTAGCACTGGGCTGTGATTTCAAGATGAGCATCAATGATGTTTTGAGATATCCACAACCCCATGTGATGTGAAAAGATCTGATTTCTCTTGGAGATAAAATCACAGGTATCACTGACACATTTGTCACTTGATGCCTATACTCACAATGGAAGGAAGACACCATTATTTGTCACTGAAGACAAGTTCACAGACCCCTTGAATTCTATCAGTGAACCCTGACCATCCCTTGTGTCACATTTCCCTCTTCTTGGGGAAACTTCTTTCCTCTGGGGTCAGGCATTGGAGGGGCTTGTGGTCCTCATGGCACAAGGTCTCACAGTCGAGTTGTATGTCTGTAGCTTTCTTTCTTCCTAATGAAACCATCATTGATCATGACCCCTGAGGAATCAGCTCCACTAGTGAGCAAAGTGAGGGCACCTGTGTGTAACATGTCTATGGTCAGTCACTCTGACGTGGAGGGGACACCTTGGCGACTTGCTGCCTCCCTGGCAAGGCCCTGGGCTTCTTGTATGACTTTCTTTCTTCCTTTTTTTTTTTTTTTTTTTGACAGTACTGGGGTTTGAACTCAGGGCTTCACAACTTGCTAGGCAGGTGCAGTACCCACTTAAGCCATTCTGCCAGCCTGCCTTTGTTTCTTTGCTAAGACCATTTGAACATGACACTCAAGGTGTGGTCCCCTGGCCAGTGTTGTCAACTGCCACCCTGGGAGCTTGTTAGAAATGCAGAATCTTGTTCTCTATCTCAGATCTATAGAATCCAAGTCTGAATGTTAGCGAGATTCCTCGTCTGTACATAAACCCTATACTAGAACATTCCTGTTGAGGCATGGAAATGTGTGGGGGCTTTATGGCCACAAAGTTTGACTGCAGTGATCTGGCCACCATGAATATAGCCAAGGCCTGCTCTGCATGTCAGTGAAGACAAGGCCCCAGGTTGGACGGCACCCAAACCTCTCCACAGGGCCACAAAGGAAAGAGAACCAGGAAGGACTGGGAGGCAGTTGGAGAAGGTCAAGTTGAAGCTTTTGGAAGTTACATGAACTCATCTCTGACTTGGTTTTGGTCCTGTACACTGCTGGAGTCTCATGGCACTGGCAGGTTGGGGGACTCTGAAACCAAAGACCCAAGATCCTTTTAGCTGCATAGTCCTGTGCGGACATCCAGCACTGCTATTTATTCCAAGATCCTGAGGCTACCACTCCAGGCATGATAGCCCCAGCAGCCAAAAGCAAGGCCACAAAAAGCTTCCTGTAGCCATCTGCCATAGGAAACACCAACCACGGTCCAAGCAGTTTCCTGGACTGTTTAGCCAACTAGTGCCTGATATCCAAACCTAATGCCACAGTGCCCTCAAAGGGACCACAGTGTCCTCAAGCTCTTAATGCTTCAGGGTACACATTTGGCAGAAGAGGAAACAGGGTGGACAGAAGCTGCAGGTGGGCTCCTGCTGCCTACCTTTCTCAGGGTTATTCAGCTGGAAGATATCTGGGTGCTCAGGGTCATCAGGCAGCTGCACCATCCAGCCCACAATGGAGACCTTCTTTCCAGGTGTGGATTTATACTGGAGGAGAGAAATGAATAAGTGGGAGGCCCTAGCTCACACCCTCTACTCCACAAGGGAGGCCAACCTCGTCAGGCAAGCATCCTTCTCACCCAGCCCCCACAGTCCACAGAGGTGACTTCCACAAGAGGAAGTCAAGCATGAAACTTACATGTTTTCTGTCTGTGCCCCGCAAGGACTTGGCTCCATAGTACAAGAGGGTAGATCCTGATAGTATGACCCAGTACCTGCTCCATGAGGCCAGCTGCAGAAGAAGGCAGAGTGATGACAACAGGGGTGGGGACAAAGTGTCCCTGGGGTCTGATTATAGACCCAGTCACCCTCATCCATGCCAGTGCAGGCCTCCTCTTTTCCCTGGCTCTCCATCCACCCCCAGCAATGCCATCTCCACCCCACTTTTCTTCCCTCCCCTTTCCTTTCTTTGCCTTATTGAAGGCAGTGCCAGGGCATATTTCTATGTACTCAGATGACCTGGCCCAAGGATGTCCCAGGAAAAATAATTTCTAAAGTACAGACATGCTAAGCCACAGCCTAGAAGTTTACTGTGTGCAGTGGGCTGCTCTGGATGAGACTGAGCACTAAGTTTCGAGGCCTTCGGGTTAGAAGTGGAAGCACTGAAGAGCTCAGCTGCAGGTGTGCTTTTGTTTCTCTAGGGTTAAAGCTGGGATTCCCTGTTCAGAGGGCTCTGTTCCTGGGTTTGGGGAAAACCTTTAGTGGGGCTTTGGTTTTGGTGAAGGGAAGGCAAACAATACCCCACCCTGAAAGGAACAGAATTGTGTCTTCCACCCTGGAAGAAAGGAGTGGCTGCTCAGCATCATTATACACAGGGCCTCCTGCTGGGTGGACCTGCATCTCAGACTGGGTGGTGGGGGGGAAGCCATGGCTTTTAAATGCTTCACCGACACTACAGGGGTGTATCGCACATGGCCATATGTATATGTGAACTGAAAAAAGTTCACACAACAACACTTAACCTTTACTATGTGTGAGGAACTCCACATTGCCATCCTACTTCTATTCTACTCCACCCTCCTAAAAATACTGGTCATGAACTATGAACCTCACTCACTATGGAGTCAGCCAGCATGTGGGACAATACTTCCTTGAGGACACTGCTGGCTCTGGCCTTGGAATAATGGGTGCCTGTGCACCTACTAGGTAAAGAGAGGGGGATGTACAACAGGACAGACAAGGCCCCACACTGCAGGAAGCTTTTGTGACACTCTGTACCTAAGAGACAAGAGCATGGCTAGGCTGGTCTCCGAACTAGGCTACTCACTGCTGCCCATGCCACTTCTGACTGACATGTGCCTGACTTACGGCGGGCTTCCGTCCTTCCTTGAGCAGTGTTTTTCTTCTCAGAGGCCCCTCCATGGTGGGCACAGCAGCTGAGTTTCCCAGGGAACACGGGCATGGGCCAGTGGGGCTGAAGGGAGACCAATGGTCAGACATGGCCCTAGAACAGCTGAAGCCAGGTACCCTCTCACTCACTGGGGTTCCCATATATCCCACTATGATGTTCTCATAAGGCCAGAGGACGCACCAGTGCTTGGCCAAGGCCAAGGCCAAGAGCCGAGGCCACAGAAGAGCTCCCTGCAGCTGAGAGAGCCTTTGCCTTGCTTATCTTTATAAGGGCTGCAAAGCTCTAGGTTTGATGACCAAGTTCCCCATAACCCAGCCCCTAGGAGCACCTGGCCCTATCCAGAGGACATCTCTGCTATGACTTCCTCTTGGTGGCTCCCCAGGCTCTCACTGGTGCTTTCTCTATACCTGAGGAATGTGCAGATTTGAAGCCCTGGCTCTGGCAGATCCTCTTCCTTGTGTTGGCAGAAGCATTGGAGGATGTGACAGAGGTGGGGTGAGCGGAAGGAGGGATGGGAGCCCCCATGACCCTTGCACTCCTCTTTCACCCTCTCTCTTGGAATCAAGCACCATCACAGGTGACAATATCCAAGTACATGGCCGGCCCAGACCTAGCCTGTGCTTCAGATTTGCATGTTTCTGCTTCCTGGACATCCCATAGGCACCTTGTCCACTGCCAGTAAGCATACCTCCACCTATCAGTAGCTCTAGTCAGAAACCTGGCCATTTTCTTCTTACATAAGCTCTGCAGCTCAACCAACCCCAAAGGTGTATGGATCCTAGATCCTAAATATGTTTGGCTGTCCATCCCACCTCCCCACCATGGACCACTGCATCTTCCTCCAGATGACTACTCTCCCAGGCCCCTGCTTCCTCCTGTCCACACTGCCTGCACCATTCCCCTTTGGCATCCAACCTCTCCGCTGGTTCCCATTGCTTCTAAGGAGTGGGCCACCATCCTTGCCCCTGTTGCATGTGACTCTGCCCACTTCTCTAGCCTCATCTGGCACCTCTCTCCTATCTCTCATTTCTTACAACACAGCCTTTCCTTCCCTCATGGAATCACCCGCCCTTCCTGCCTCACGGCCCCATACTTGCTCTAGCTGGGTGCCCTCTCCTTACCCTGTGATTTCTATCATTCTTCCAGTCTTGCTTTCCCTCATCTCCCTCCTCTCACTCAAAGCACCCCACGCCTCTCTAATAATAGCATCATGGAAACTGAGGCTGTATCTGTCTTCTTTGGGTGCCTCTACCACAGAGCTTTGCCACCAAGCACCCCAAAGCTGTTTGTGGGGTCAATGAGCAAATGAATAAATTAATACCTGTAGACACAGCTCCGGGTTCTGGGAGAATTTCGAACTGGAACCCGCCAGTTGGGCCCCAGTGTGGCATACAGACGTCCCCTGCTTCAGAGGAAAAGGTGGATTTTAGCAATAGCCTGGAAAGACCTGTTACTCCTGAGGAGTGAGAGCATCCTGGACTATGCAGGTCAGCCCTCTCCCCTCCTGTTCCCCAGGCTACTTGCTACTGCTGCAAGCACATCTGGGCACATGTGGAACCACCATGTCAGTGAACACACACCCCTCAGCACCTCCATCCTAGAAAGTCCTCAAGTCTCCAGGTGATTATTTTGCTAACTTTTTATTGATCGTTCACTCAGTTTCCTCAGTGTGAAGCTAAGCTGTTCAATAGGAGATTCTATGCAGTCTATATAGCACACCGTAGGTCCATGTTAAAAGTGTACAAGACGCAGAGTTGTGGACAATCTTACATGTTGGGGCAGGGCATGTGTGGTGTCCACATTCATCAGGGCATCAGGATCCTTCTATCACTATGTGCTCTCCTCTGGACAGGCTCCTTTGCTGGCTCCAGCTGTCCTTGAAAACTGGCTCTGCCACTTGATAGAGCCTGGGCTCCAGGGCCTCCCTGTGGGCTCCATCTGGCTTTTCTCTTATCTGACCCCAGCCAGGGCCTTTCCAGGATGGTATGTTGCTTGCTGCTCCACCTCCTTGGGGTGAGGAACCACCTTGCTCTCTCTTCTAGCCTTTCCTGTCTTAGGAGACTCACTTCCTGTGTCCACTTGCTGCACAGCCTCCTCCCTGCCCTGAAGTGTGTTCTCTCCCTGACTACAACTCTTTGCCCACTAGCCAGACTATACCTAGTCTTCTGTATAAAGTTAAGAAAAGGTCCCAACTGCCTTTCCAAATGTACCCTCTGTCATCCACAGCCAGCCCTAGGCTGCTGCCTATTGCCCATGATGTAGATCACTTGTGGGTGGTGTGGGGACATCCTCACTTACTGAAGCAAGCACATCAAACCATCACTGACCACAGGCCCTTGGTCCTCCAGGCAGGAAGGAACTATTCCTGATAGCCATCTTGGGTCCATTGTGCAGAGGCCCAAGTTCTGGGTTGGTGCGAGTCAGTGCCTCTAGATGGATTCTCCCCTTCTGCCTACCAGCATCTCTTCTTTAGGTGATGACATGCCACAACATGTGCTTGGTGCCCCAAGTTCTCAGGTAATGGGTCTCATGATGGTCACAGATTGGCCCTGACCTACCATGAACTGCAGCACAGATGAAGAAACCCTGGTGTGTTCAACTCCCAGCCTACTGGCCAAACTGCCTTCTTCCTCCGTCTCTTCCATTCACAGAGAAGGCTGGATCACAGTGTAGGAATGAGACAATGTCCAAAGAACTATGCACTTGCTCTGATTTATAAACAGGCAGAGTACTCAGATTTCAACACTCTTCCACATCCTAGTACCACTTATCAAGCACTTGGCCACCGAGTTTAACAGTAGGACGTGTTTCACCCCCATGCTGAGCACTGCTGCTCCAGGGCTGGCAACAGGCAGACTCAAGGGTTGCCCTCGTTCCCAGCCACTGCTGACAATGAAGGTGATCATGGTGATGTCCTTCGTGGCTTTGTCTGCTGCCCAGGGATTATTTCCTTCTCCTCTGATCTGAGCTGCAGCTGACTGGGGTTGGAGGCAGACTCTTCCCTTCACCTTCTTCTTCTAGTTATCTGTCCCTGTTGCCCCAGGACAGGGTGTGAGGACTGTCCAGAGTCACCAGCCATTCCTTAAGCAGGGCAGGGTAGTGATGCCACCTTCTCTTCCTACTCTCTCCCTTTGTGAGGCAGCCATGGTTATATACTTAACAGGTGCTGGTAGAAGTGACATTTGTCACTGAAGATGAAATTGGCAACTGCCAACTAATCTGACCTGGTAAGCAGTCAGTCCTTGGGCCCTTCCCAGAGGAGGGAGAAGGGACCTGTGAGGATGCCTGGCTTGCTGGAGTTGCTCATGGACAGACCAAGGAGCCACTGGGTGGTGGGTACTCATTTGCACACAGCTTTGCTCAAATACCATTATCCTCTCCATAAGGAGGAAACAGGAACTCAGCAATGTGAAGCTACTTGACCAAGGAATGAGCCCTCAAAGGCAGGATTTGAACCCAAGTTTGTTCAATTCTACAGCCCAAGCCCTTTACCACACCATGAGATGCATGGAGAGAAAGGTAGAGGGAGCAACATGGTGGGGCCTACCGTGGCACTGGGTCACAGCTGATTTACGTGTGGAGCCTTCATGGCTTTCTGCTCCTAGAGGCACCTCCCTGGGGGCTTCGCCTGGAGCTCGCAGGAGCTTTGACAGTGTCTGCTAGGCTGAACGGCCATGAAGTTCTTCGGCCCCAGGACCACCTGGGGTGGGGCATCCCTCAGGTCCCTGTCTTGTGGCTTTCCCACAGAGTATTTTGGTGGTTTTGGCTGCCTAGCACTTAACAGCCAATGCCTCCTAAAATGCTTTCACTCAGGTGCTGTTCCCACACCATTTTGGATGAGGACACTGAGGCTCAAGGAGGCCAAGAGGTCACTCCCCCCTCCCCCCGCCCAACTGGTTTGCTATTAAGAGATTGAGAGGCAAGGGCTCACAGAAGGCCCACTTCTGTGTGTGTGGGCTTGAGGGCCTGCCTGAGCCAGTGTGACTGTCCCATATTGTGTCAGCTATAGCCTATTCTCCCTGGAGCCAGGGTGGTAGCCCCAGGTCTGGAAGCACAGCATACTGTGATCTTTCCCCAGAGCCAGCCCTTGGGAGAACAGAGTCAATGGTGGTACCCAGCCTCCCTTCTCTGTGAGCTGGGGGAGGCTGGCAGGCAGGCTAGTACCATCACAGAGCAGCCAGGAACCTTTGCCACAAGAGCCAGACGGCCTATATCCAACCTGGCTCTCTGAGGATTTGCCATGTGAATGTTCAGAGCCAAAAAATGCAAAATGAACGGGTGTGCCATCAGGTGGATCCCAGAAATCATGGACTTCCTCATTGTCAGGGTGGGGGCACTCCAGACCCACAAGCACCTTTCCTGGTGCTGCATTCTGGGAACATGTGGATGAAGACATGTCCTCAGAAGGCCAACTGAGTGTCCCCTCTCCATTGTGGATCTGGGGTGAGGGGTATTCTGAGGCCTATGAGATAAGGGACTCATGGGAAGTTTGCTTTGGGAAGATGCAGGCTGGCAACCAGGTGGAACATCTCATCCCTCAAGGTCGGAAAGCTGACAGTGCTGATGACAACGATAATGACAAGATGATGGGATGCTGACATCAGTGATGATGAAGGTAGTAGTAGTGGTGATGGAATGATGGGTGCCAGGTACTGCGCTCAGCAGTATTCCTTCACTGTCTCATCTAATCATACAACACTGCCAGGCAGGCACTGTTATTGTCCCTACTTTGTAGATAGGACGCTGAGGCTCACAGACATTGAATCACTTGCCCAAGGCCATGGCACCAGGGAGAGGAAGCTCAATTGGGGTTGTTGAAGTAGAAGCAGCCAGGGGATTTACTGCCCATACCACCAACCTCATGAGCATTTGGGATAGCTAAGGCATGGTTTCCCAGGCACAAGTCAAGCTGGAGGTATCTTGGGGTTTAAAATTCATAAAATCCTAAGCCCTTGCTACTGGTCTCAAATGGAAGAGCTGAGAGAAGTCTAGGATCACAATTATGTTGAGCCCTCAGGAATCTTGGTCTTAGCCAAAGTAGGGTCCCCCATCTCATCTTCCTGTCTCAAGTTTACAGAGCCCCAGTGGGACTGCCTCTGCAGAAGGGCCATGCAGTGCTGTTCACCAATACTGCTTACTGCACTGGCAAACCGTAGAGGGGAGACTGGTCCTATTAGGCCATGGCATGTCCTGACCACTTCCTGGTGAATTACCCTCATCTGTAGGCAGGAAGTGCTACCCTGAATCCTGCTAGGACAGGCCCAGGGACATCCCTTCTTGCAGCAATATTTGAAGAACCTCTGTTCTCTGTGAGCTACCAACCCTTCTCTGTGCAATGTCCCTGATATACTAAGTGGGGGCCCTAGGAAACATAGTTGTACTGCATGTCTCCATTCTTCTGATAGCTGATTGGACAGGACAACATGCAAATCCAAGCCAGATTTTCTCTCCTAGCTATGAAGAACTAGATCAAAGAGGCAGGAGGTCAGGCTCAATGGCTGGGTGAAGCCATCTATTCTCTTTGGGTGCTAACAAGTTCAGAAATCTGATTTGCAGTGGGAAGGGGAGTACAGCAGATGTGCAGCAGGAAGGACAGATTCAGATAAAAGGAGAGTTCTGTCCATTTCTAGGCACTGGCTTTGGAGAAGTTTTGCGCATTGGATAGAGAAGCTGTGGGCAAAAGTCTCTCAGCTCCTCATGAAGCAGCAGCTGGCTAGCAGGGCCCAGTCTTGACTGCCATGGCCTAGGACAGGGTCAAGTACAAAGCCCTGGAATCCAAAGGTCCAGGGACCTTTGCTTACCCTTCTCTCAGAGGAGTCTACCTGAGAGCCTCACACTACAACTAAGGCAAAGAAACGAGATGGTGTCTTTGGGGGACACAGCAATCAAAAACTTGGCAAATCATCCAACTGAGCTGCCATCCCCCAGGGTTGGGCAGACAGCCCAAACAAGGTAGAAGGATGGAGTTAGGGAAACAAGACTTCAGGGAGGACTGATGAGGCACAAGGATCTAGGACCCCAGGTCTCAGCTACAGGCATGGGGGTGGGGAAGAGATCCTCTATATGTCACCCTGAGCATAGCCACTCATATAGCTGTGCTGCAGTTGATGGGAACCCTTGACCCAGAGCTTGGTTTAATTATTCCCAAATACTGTAGAGATGGAGGCTCAGGAGACATCCTTGTGCCCCGGAAAACCTGGACTGGAGTTCTTTGATCCCAAGGAAGGACATGTGTTTTGGGGGTGGCAGGTGTAGTGCTGTCACTACCATGACTCCATTTTTCTGGGATCTCCTTAGGGACAGTGGGTGATTCTACTGGCTAAGATCAATAGTAAACCTCACACAGAGCAGAAATCGCATTGCTGACCGCCTTTCA